ATAGCAGTAAATTTATTACAAGAAATTGTGTAACAGCTGAAAAATAAAATTACTCAATCAGATCTGAAAGTGGAAGATTAAAATGATGTGACTAATCATACAAGAAAGATCTCTATTCTTGAAAAATTTTAAAAAGCAAATTAAAAGGAAAGAATAATTCTTTGATGAACTAACCTCATGAGATATATTATTAGTATCATCAGCCTCCATAACAAATATCTTAGCTGCCTCCTAAAAAATCACAAATTGAAGCATTACTAATTGATAAAAATGTAAAGTTTCAATTCAAGATTGTTTTGATTTGTCTTCCAGGCTATACTTTACCTCACTGGGCCCCAACAAAAGGCGACAGTATAGAGGAAATTCTTCCTTTTGAAGTTGTCTAATTGCTGTTAAAGAAAAAAAGATAAACCTAGATGTAAGAGGTGTGGATTTCACACCCAAATTCATCAGATTGTTGTGGTGAATTATCATGTCACATGCAAAACAAATGAATGAAATCTGAGCAAGTTGAAAAATGCGGGCATCCCACAGATCTTTGTGAGACAAACTGACTTGATGAAGTAAAGAATGATACAAATAATAGAGTACTTACACCCATTGTCATATACAGCATAGAGATTAAATTTCTGAGGTGCATCAGTGATCTAATAAAGAGACAAAGGGACAAATATTTCAGATTTATAGTGAGGTGGGTGCAGCATTTGGTCATATTTTAAAGCAATGATAGACTTCCCATTGTCTGACTTCCCCAAATAAGAAATTTTTCTGAAATAGCAGTGGCTCACCACAAAAACATAACTCCTAAACAGTAGGCAAAATTTGAAAAACAGATGAAAAAGACTTCCTTCATCAAAATCCTTGGCTAGTGAGTGCTGTTTTACAGTGTGTTCCAAGACTTGACTGAATACTTCAAAAATCAGCAGCTTTGTTCATCAATAGCTCCTTACTACTCTAATATTTTCTTTTACCCAAGACATTTCAGATAATATTATCTGAGTTATCATCAAAGGAATGCTGGTATATGAAGCTTCTTACTATGGTAATATCTGACAAGAGTTATTCAAAGTTTGAAAAAAGAAAACCTGTGATACAGAATGAAGAAATCCACTTTCAACTTTTTCAGACCAAAGGGCATTTTTTTTAAGAGAAAAACTTTGGGATCAAGGATCAGAAAGTCAAAACAGACAAAATCACCACTGAGAGCTTATCACACCAAAGGTTAACATGACCAGAAGAAAATGAGCAAGGAATTCAAAGTAAAGTTTCAACAAATTTTGCATCTGATTGGCCGACAGGATAGATGGGAGTTTTCTCAACCAATCACAGAGTGCAGTGAAGAAAAAGAAAAGTCATCTAACTTGTGACATCCTTCTGAAAATTGTTCCTCAATTACATCATTCAAAAAAATAAACACACACATTTAGATCATAAGAATTATAAGTAAATGCTTTCAAACCTGGAATTTAGTCATCAGCATTTTTATAACTTCTCTTGTTTTGGTTCTGCTTGTCACACGCAAATTTGTTGAAGTCCCATAAGGAGGAATAAATGTTGTGTGACCTTCTGGGGACTGTTGATGACAAAAAATGACCACTGCTTAAAATTCACTCACTCAAATGTGTGTGGCTCAGCAAAATACTATTGCTGTCATTTTCATGATATAAGTTACATATCTTGTCTTCCACAGTTACATATTAATTTTTTTAACTCATTTGTTAATGAACAAACATTTCTATTGTAAAGAAAGATGTAATCAGCCATGTCAAGAGATTGCAAGTTCATATACTTTGAAGAAAGGATTGTTTCTCTTAAGACAGCATGATCCTTTGCTGATGCACAAAATGCTTTCAGAAGTTGGGTACTTTCTCTTGCCTTTGCTACAGTTCACCAACACTTTCACAGGCACTAACAGTTAAAGGTCCAAGAGTATCAATTAAAACAAACCAGTGACCTGTAAAGAATTTAGATAAAACTGAAGTTATCTTACATGAAAAGATAATGTTCTCACCTGAACTGTGAAATCAAGAATAGTTTTCTGATCTCCTGCATCTGGAATATTTTTGTTATTAATGGACCGGCGCCTGGCTAGAATCTTCTCTAAACTACTTGTCCTTGGTCTCTGTAGATATTCAGTTAAAGGCAAAATGAAAAAAAAAAATAGTTACTGTTATAGTAGCAGCTGGAACCTATCCCATGTAGCATGAGTGACTAGGAGTGCTGCTATCAAAGACAAATTTATATGTGGACCTAGCACTAATGCCACACCATTTTTCAATTTCTTTGAAAATCAACTGTGATAAATCAGAGTGGAATTTCTCTTTATCAATCTAATACATTGTCAGGCTGACAGGCAATGAGAAATTTAAAAGTTATAAACGGAGGAAAGAACTCAAGCAAGAAATCTGGTCAAACAAATAATCCTTTAAATGTTGGGAAATCATGTGATACTGCAATTAAAATATAATGAGAAACTGGACTCTACAGAGCTTCCTTCTTTTTCAAGCAAACCCACTTACAATTCCATCTTTAACTCTGTTAACAGCCGATCCTCTGTAACCATTCTGTTCTTTCTGTGAGCGTCTCCTCCAATATGACAAGTTGTGACTTGCAAGTGTAACAGGCACCTTCAAACCCCAGTAAATCTTGAGTACCCCCTCGAGTATGAGTCTGCCACTGAGCTAAGTGAGAAAAGGCAAAATATATATAAAAAAAATGACATGTACATCTGCAAGAGTCTATCACAGCTTCTGTGGCATGGTGCAACAAGAAGTATTGATTTTATGAAGTGGTTGGGATGCCAGACCAACACAGATTGTCCACTTGCACTTTGTTTGGTCCTCCTGCATTGTGCTAATACTCATTTATTTTCTTGGCTGGAGAGTAAGATTGTGACATTCATGTGTTTTGCCTGAGAACACAGTGCATTGTGATAGAATTCTTTCCTTAGTTGTGACTCAATTTTAGTAATTTAGAGATTTTTTGGAAAAATTTCTATAATAATAATCAGAGAACACAATTTGTTCCTTTATAATCTTTGAGATAAAAATCACCCTTTCAGAGTTTCATTTATTTCTATTATATTAACTCAACCCTTTCTCTCCTGAAAGCTCATTAGTAATTATCTTTACTGTCTGCTATACAATTCTTTGGTTGATAATTAAGAGAATTTGGTATTAGACCAGCTGATAACTTTCTGGTTGATATTTTTCTTTATTCTCACCATTTGTCTGTTTGATATTGTATTGATATTGTATGAAGAAATTCTCTCTTAGTCACTTGTGCAAGTTGAAGGATTACCCGGTAAGTTCCATGACTTTATTAGTCTTGCTACAGAATGATTATTGGTTTTACCTCTTTGCTTGTTAACTGTAGAGCTTTACGTGACTCAAAAAATGTATTATACTCCTTCAGCTTTGGAATAATTTCATTCCTAAAAACAAATTACATAGTAAATAAATAGAACAAAAGGAAAACCCATGCAAAAAGTTAAAAATGATCAAAACTCTTGGCTGGACATTGTCTGAATGACATGAAACTATAAAATCATAAATAAAAGGTATGTATACCTAATGGCATCCAATTCAGCTGGTGTAAGCTTATCATCTGCTAAATATTGATATGATTCTGTTCCTCCTCGGCCATATCCACCTGGGCCAAATAACAAACTGTAGCATGGAATATTACAATAGGGAATTCCTCTGTGCTGCAAAGGCATAAAATATCAGAATCAAATATAATATATGAAAAAGGCATGTTATCATTTGATTGTCCAAATTAAGTAAAGTTAAATTAAGTGAACAAATCTGTTGTGAAGAATAATGTTTTGGTCTCATGATGCAGCCATTTTCAAATAAAGATGATACATCCAGTTGACCTTCTAGCTCAAAGGGGACCAGTATATGTAGTGAAAATGCTACAACCACTAATACTTTGAGTTACCAAACTTTTAATTAGCTTGGAAACTTGCACATGAATAACAATCAATAATCTCTTCATTAACACTCATGGAAGTCTTTGCCGATCATATCATGAAAATAAGAATTTAAATAATAATACATGAAGCTGACAGTCATATGCTAATGAAAAAAGTCCCCAAGAATTTAACCCTTTAACTCCCAGATCAAATTTGTAATTCTCCTTTCTGTCAACCATACAGTTCTCATCATGTTAGTTCAGAGAATTTAGTATTGAATCAACTAATTATCCCCAAATTGATATTTTTCTTAATTCTCATCACTTATCTGGTTGATATTGTATTAATATTGTGAGGAGAAATTCTGTCTTGGTCACTCATGGGAGTTAAAGGGTTAAGGGCTACAAATGATATGACTGTACCCAAAGATATCTAATTCCTGTCAGTAAATATTTCCAAAGTCCACTCATAATATTGGCATATACAATGTGCTGCACTTCACTTAGTAGTTAAAAATTCTTCCTCAACATGATTGATAAGAACAATTTAACTTCAACACAAATTATCTTGCCACAGAATTATGTTTTGAGTATTCTTGTTATGATACTATTGATCTTGTATTTGTAATTTTAACACTTTCACGAATGATAGATGCTTTTCTCATAAACTGTGTAAAATAAATATTCTAGTACAAAATTAACTGAGAAAAAAATGATAAAATACGACTGTCAGAGGTTAGGTAAACCATCTATTACAAAAATAATGCTGTAACTTCTATTTATAGGAAAAATACTTTAATTCGTAATATTTGAAATTAAAAATATTTTTTCTTAAGAAACCATTGAGAATTGACTGATTTAACTCTTCAAAACTGTTAGCTTTTCTCTTAAAATTCAAATCATAAACAAAATGACTTCGGACAGCAGCCAAATACAACTACTATGAATAGACAGGTACAAGTACTATGAATAGGCAGGACTTCACATGTGTGTCGTATGAATATTTCTTTCCGCTAAATGTGAAATCATTCTGACTTTTTCTTGTCACAAATTTCCGTTAAATTTAGTTATTTTATGCCAGAAACAAAGAGTGGCCATATTCAATTTACCTATATGAGAGATCGAGTCCGAATGTTTGGATCTCTGATAACAAAGACCTCTGTCAATGGAGGTATGATGTTATATCGTGCTGTTTTAACTTGTAACATTTAACCACAACGATGATGGCATATTTATCAACAAAACCAGAAATTCACATCATAAAAGACACAGAAAAAGACAGAGAAAGGCTTATTTACCACCCAGTTTGACAACAGACGAGGAACCCTTCGTTGAATCATCAAAAATGCGTCTGCTTCCATAGTTGATCGAGAACAATGCAAGTAAAGAAACACCAACCTGCATTGCATCATTACAGGAAATGGAAAAATAGGAACTGGAATCTTGGAATGGACCAAGGAAAAAATTGTGGACTCATTTTAAGCACGATGATTACAAATTTCTCTTTTGGCAGAAGCAGAGGGGAAATGGTTGTTTCCCTGCAAACAGGAAGCTTCTACGAAAATTTTTCTCAAATTTGACCAACAAATGTTCATTTTATAAGAAACAAATTTAACCCTTTGTTCTTGACACAAAAACATAGTATGTACATGCTGTAATTACCTAAAATATTACAGTAATAATATTTATGATTACTTGCCCAAATCAGAAAAAGAAAATGTGCGATTGGTTAACAACATATACCCAACTATTATGTCACAGCTCTTTCATCAGATTTTTCTGGCCAAGAGAAAGCTAACATCTAGAAAAGCCTACATAGGCCACATTGCAAACAACTATCGTTAAACCAAAAATTATAACCAACATAATGACAGTGGCCATTCAAAAATGAAAGAAAATATCACAAGAAAGCAATATAGATTTCAGGAGAATACAGGTATAATGTCTCATGTACAGGAAGAAGAAAGTGTCGGGTTTAAGTTTTGTATCCGATAAGTCACAAATGGCAGATGATTATTGAGTAGACCAATCTGATCAAAATGTTCAAGCAAAGTGAAACAAAATTAAAGAGATCTCCAATTACTTTCAAATCTTGACTGAAAATTGAAACATTTAGTGAGGCCAGTTCAACTCAGACAGCAGTTTTACAACAATAGACTTGCAGATTTGTCTATAAGAAAAAGGTTAGGAAAAGCTTTTATGAAAATTATTGAAGATGGCTCGGCATTCAGTTTTGCTAAACAAAAGGCTAAAACTTGTGGGAATAACTGGCCCAATGCTTTTGAACTCTGAAATACTCTGACCAAAATTTGTTACTTGTGAAAATCTTCAGTGTGATCTCGAAAATGATGTTGCAAAGATGAATTTACAACAAATTCACAATCATATCTTTGACATAAAATCACTAGCAACTGGCTAGAAATAGACCAGGCGGTTATTCATAGAAAGCACCCAAAGGAAAAAAATTAGCGTCTAGAACACCCACTCGAAGTAACATTACAAATATTTGACCTACAACGAGTTGCTGTGGTCAAGAATGTTTTGGCTGTTATTTACCTTCCTTAAACTAAATTAAGACCAAAAAGCTATTTTTTTTATTTGTAAAATAAACAGCTAAGCCCTGGACTTTGACAGGTTGTCGGACATAAACTTCCATATGAATGTCAAAAATATTTTGAATCAAAAATAAGTTTATTTTACAAAGTTAATCGCACTAATAATTAAACAAACAGGCAAGTTGCTTATCCTTCCTTTTATCTGAGAGCTGGGTTTTATTTATCGTAATGCACTGATCTACGGCCCATCGCACCCAGCTCAAAAAAAAAATAATCGCGTGATACACCTTTAACACGCACTTTAATAGACTAAGCGAACATTACTATATTAACAATATTTATAGCATTTTTTTCTCGTAAAGAGGTTTTCAAAAAGCGTGAAAAGAACCCACCAGACAACATACTCCAAGAGCTTATACAGCTGTCATACATAAACTTCATGAAACATTATCGTGAAATTTTGCACCCGGACGCAAAGGTTTTAAACGTTGGGATTAATATTCTTCAGAAAAATTTTCGTTCGAGTTAATGTTTATGTATTATAAGTGCATACGCGATTTAGAAAAAGTATTTCGTTTCTTGAATTTGATTACAGAATACTACAAAATATAACTCTTTTATTGCCTCTTCTACTGGAAAAAATGTATATCGACCAGAAGAACTGACAAATAATGCGTTATTTAATTGAGCAAACCACTCAGTGAAATCAAGTTTACCTCTGAATGTTGGCCAGGGTTTAATCGTTTACCGCATTCTTCGCATCGCAAACAGCCAGGATGCCAGACTTTTCCCAGAGAGTTCCTCTGTTCCGCTGCAAAATATCACACAAATACATCATAAGGAGAAATTTTCCCAAACGAAGACCGCCGTGTCAAGGTAATTTGTCATCGGTCCCCGTTCCGGCAATCGATTCCAGGCGGATCAAAATTGATCACGCTTTCTTGCTACATCGAAAGCATTACTTTTCAAACTACGTGCGGTATTTTGTTTTCAAACTACTAAACTTACCAAAATATACCAGTTTACCGCACTTGTGACATTCAGTCATCGCGTTTTGCCGCTAGATTTGACCTCTCGAGCCTCGACATACGATTATGAATTCTTCGTACTCGCGGGCAAGGTGCAAAGCTGCCAATGACGTCACGCTAAAAACAGACCAAAAGAGCTGCTCTGTCTAGGGTGGAGTGGGGATTTGACTCAGTCACTACACACAGAAGGCCAGCAGAGCATTGGTTGACAAGACTCTAAACACTCAAAGCCACAAATCGTTTCCTGTAACCTATTTTTGGGCGACTTGTCTAGCAAATTTTTTTAATCGCGCATTTGATCATATGCACATGTAACATGCGCGTAACAAATAATAAATATTATTACACTATTACTATTAACACAGAATTTTGATGCAGAGTCAAAGAATTTCATATAAATTTTCCGTGTCAAACTATCTAAATATAACTTTCGCTATGAGCTCTTGGTCATGTCGTAAGAATTCGTCTCCTCAAGTGTATTGTAAACAATTTTTTTCAATCTTTTCTAAATGGAAAAATCCGCGAGTGCGAGATAACGGTGTAAATACAACAATTTTTTTTATAGAAAACGAACAAAAGAAAAATAATGGGAAACAAGGAGAGGATGAGGAAAAAGGGAAAAACGACTGGAACATCAGAAACAGAATGGTTGAAAAATTTACCCGGGTTTACATAAATGCCGAACATTTTTTGTTGCCGTAATCCTTTGCTATTAACAAAATAAACAAAACCTTTAGAAAAATCTCTTTAACCTAAAATTCTTCCCTGCATGATAATAAGCGCAGAGCGTTATGTCACCCGCGGTACGTTTCTGAAAAAACTCTGAAAAACACTGCTCTTGCTAAGTGTCTTTTTTTTTAAGGGCCGAAAGAAACCTATTCAAAATAACAGTTTGATCTCTCCCCCCCCCCACCCCCCCTAGGAAAAAAGTAGGCCCAGCCAGAAAGAGGTGAGCCAAAATGATAATTAAAAAAAGAAGAAACAGAGAGGAGGAATAGAAAATACAGACTTCAGAGCGAGTGGTTGGTTTTAGATTTTAATTTCTTCCAGTTTAAAACTGCACCATGCACTCTCAATCACCCTTCTTCAATCACGTCCATAGATGCAGTAAAACTTTGAGGTAGCTTAAAGAATAATGACGCATATGACCGAAGCTTATCCTCATTGGCACGAAGCGACTCGGAACATTGCTTCCCCACCTAGAGAGGATTACAATCCATCCCAGCTTACCCCTACCACACTCGCTGCCTTTGTTAAGATTCCATTGAGAGAGCTGTGGTATCCATTTTTATTATCCAACTGAATAGAGTACAAATATCCTGCGATATTGTACGGTTATTTGGACAGTTGGTTATTTAGTACTGTAAAAAAACCTGTATAACCAGTCTAATAAGATATTTATGCTCCCGGGTAGAGAGAGGCAGTGTGTCTTATCAAGATAAAATAACGTCCCTTTTTTGTTCTTGGTCTTACTCAATGACCCGGCCAGGGCTCGAACCGGGACCTCTCAATCAGGAGTACAGTGCAGTAACAATAAACCCAACATGTATCGCATCAGTAATGCGTTTTATCTAGACAAAGAAGAGCCAAGACTAAACCTGCTTGCGAAGGCAACCTCCATCCCAGTCTTTTGTATAAAAAAAATTAGCGAGGGTTAAGAAAGAGGGGACTGGGTATTGCGGAAGATATTTTGATTGGAAAAAAGCCATGAACCTGTCTGGTTTTTTCTAATGATGTTAAACAACTAATATATTTATGACCAACACAGTACCTGTGACTTAGATCCTTTAAACAGCCCGACGTAGGATATACCTTAATAGCATGATTCATTAAGGCAATATGTTATGTTTGCCTTCTTAATGCGATATAGCATTCCCGAACTGTTTTCGATATTTGTTACTCCTTCTAATCTTCCCTATAACTTATCTGAATAGCTTAACTGAAAGTTGACTATAAAAAATGACAACAAATTATAAAAGCTGTCGATGGAGTGCGGAGCAATTAGCAAAGCTTACAGAATCGGTTTAGCTTAAAATGGGCGCTGAAGTCAAAGTTTTAAGGCAATAATTGTGCTAGTGCTTGTTAAAGCAATATCAAAAAATATCTTAATTGGTAGTCTATTTTGAGTCAAACGTCCTTGGATAAGTGCTTTAACAAATTGTAAACCCCGAAATCTTATATTTTCAAATTTGAAAACAAGTCACAAAAAGTTAATTAGATCTAGCGCCTTTCACAAATCTATGAATGTGAACAAAGCAGAGATAGGTATGAAGATAAACTGATAAAGATTAGAATATTGGCGTTAGGCTATCCTAGCTTCACAATGTGTAATAAAAAGACCGAACCGAGAGAGAATCCGTAAAGAACGTGATGTAAGTTGTAACAATGCAATATATGATTCTATAAACATGATATTAGCGTTATTTTTTTCAGTACATACCTTTAGAGTTGAAAGATTTACTTCGTCCCACTCTGGGGGACCTCGGGCTTTTCACTTGCGACACTTTCTCAGAAAGTCGATGTACTTCTCGAGCAAGACGCGGGGAGTCCCTGGGGGTAGCGGATCTCCGTTCTCCCATTAAAGGGGAATTCGGAGCACTCCGAGACTTGAAATATCTCGCTTCAGGCGGAGGAACATAATCGTTGCTTTTCGGTCCAGGTTTGCCACAATGTTCGTGGTAAACAGATGGCATTTTTCTGTTGAAGAAGAGAAAATTGAAATAGCCGGCCATCTTGAAGTAACCGCATGTAAATTTAAGATAAGTTGGATTAATGGGATACCTCTCTTTTTCGGAGAAAACTTTTACTTTAGGTACTGTCAGATGAGAAGTCCTCTTCATTCTGGCTCGTGTCAAATAGCGGAATAATACAAATGTTGGGAAAATGATTAAAGGACGTGTTTCCGTTGGTATTGCGTGACAGATATTGCGTTACCTCACATTGATAGTAGCGTTAGCTGGTTATGTTACCTGCACAAAAGAGGTATTTAACACCTTTTGCCATCTACCATTGGCATTAGATATGAGGTCAAATATAGCATTTATATCGGTTGTCAGGCCAAATCTGGTTCAAATTAAAAAATAAATTGATCGAGAAATTGTTCATCTACGCGAATTACTTTTTTTAAACGTAAAATTCAAATTTATCAGTAAGGAAGGCACAACATCTGTTGAAAAGCAACAAATCTGGCCAATCAGGATTTAAAAATTTTATGTATTGCAATCTAACCCTGGCAGGTAAGGTAAAGAGGCAGAACGAATCTTCAACTGGTAGACGATTTTCAATTTGTTGTCATGGTAACAAAGAGAAGCCTAACATTGGTTCCACTTTAATAATACGCAGTACACGATAATGGGACGTCAAAATATATTTTAATCCTTTTTCGCTACGAGAAAAATCGCCTTCAGTTCCAAATTGTTCAAAACGCTTAAACCAATGACTTGGCTCCTCAAATATTTCTTCTGTTGCACCAATGGATTTTTAAAAAAATGCTCACTTAGCATGAACAAAGTGGTCAAATCTCGAACATACGTGAGCGAATCAATTTTGCCGGTCGCGCGCCAAAAAACATTATTGGAAAAAAATCCGACGAAATTCATAATTTTGTTACCGTTCTGTAACGAGTTGGTTCCTCTGCCTCTGATTCCCTCATATAAATCTTTTTATGCGGCATCGCTCAACGACGGATTCTTAACAGTGCAGTCGGTAGAGCTGAGACTTTAGACCTTATGGGAGACTCAAAATTGTGTCAGAGTCATTCTGGTGACGTTTTTTCTTTAATTGAAGACCGAGTTTAAAACAAAGATTGCCATATTTCTTTCCGTATCTCCGTGCAATGCGTCAACGGATTTCAGTTAAACACCTGTTGTACACGCAAACGGAGATAGTCTTAACAAGCGCTCTTGTGCATTTAGAGAAAACGAAAAGGATCAATCACTAACTGTACGAAAAAATTGCTTATCATGGGAAAAGTGAGATTGCTGTGAGAGTACTATATAACTTCTGGTCAGAACAAGTGAAGTTTTGTAACGAAATAATAACACCTGTTGAAATGCTTTGGTAAGGGAAACGCCCGCAAATTATTCAAATGCATCGTCTACAGTCGCTTGGATGTTGATGCCCATGAAATAATCCTTCTAAATGTGCGCTGTGTAATATTTTGAAGAGCCTGCTAGCTTATCAGCAGATTTTCACAATGTCTGTGCAGCTCGTTTCAATACACAACCGTCCGAAAATATCATAAAAAATTGAGCGAATAATAGTTTGTGCGACGGCAACCTTTCAACGGGTTTTTTTTTTTTTTTTTGATAAACAATAGCCTTCGACGCCGTCAACATTGTTCTCAAGCTGTATCGCATGTATTTTTTCCTTGTGTATTTTTTTCTGGATGCATAAATCTATCGCGAGACAAACTGAATTTATTTTTTATTACGCAGAACTACAACAGCTAACCAAGACCAAACCAGTTTATATTTATATCAATTCAGATGGCCATTTTCCCATTTTACGGAGCCGACTAAAACAAAACAAAAAATTCTGAGAAACTGCCATAACTACCACATGTACAAATGTACAAAATGTAGGAAAAGAAAAAGCTTAAAGTAAACAGAGGGCAAAAGTTTCATCCTGATTAAAAAGAAAAATATTTTTGCTCAACATTACTGCTGTTTTTTTCAGTTTCTTTCAAAAATTAGTTATTTATGGTCTTGTATGTAGGAAGCAAAATCGTCGCGATCTTCTCCCGCTGCAAGTCTCTGAATTTACATATATTGGCGTTGCTGACATTAAACCCATTTTCGATCTATTCAAAGGCTCCTCTTGGAGTGTAGACCAAAGATAGAAGCACTCACGGCCACATAGCCTAGAAGTATTCCTGAATTGAGATTGTTTTAAAGTCTCTCTATAAAACCGCACAAAAATACGGTCGCACTTTAATATAATATCGATAGTTTAAAATAGAAAGAAACAAGCCAATGTACAGCTTTTTCTTCGGAGTGAATTGAAACACTAGTTATGAGATTCATGTTTGTAAAGCAAGCGGACAAAAATTAAATTTGTTGAAATATTAAAACCATGTATATTTACCCAGAGGAAGAATGAAGGAAATTCTTCAATGTTCTCAGCAGTTCGATCATCTTGAGAAGAAAGCTATAACTATAAAAATTATACAAAGCTGCGGAGATTTTCGAGGTAGGAGCTTTTATCGCTTTCACAACAGTCGCTTCTGCGGTTGAAATAAGTTTCAAATTGTCAAAAACTCGGGTTCGCGTCGTATTTTCCAAAACAGCTGTTTTCGATAATTATTGCTGACAAATGTGTTGTGTCTCGAGACTTTGGCGGGAAATTATCACCCAATCAGAGATGTGATGCTCAGTTTTTCTAAGTCTAATATCGATATTTGACATTAACTCGAATTTCCGTAAATTATTAAAAAAAAAATATGAATTGACCCTTTGAAGGGTTATCTTTCCGAAAGAAAATAAAATTTATTCATATTTTTTGTGTCTTTCCAACTTGAGTTAAAGAAAATCCGCAAGATTTTAAGGCTAAAATACAAAGCTGCAGATCGAATCACCATACATGTTAAATAAATTACACTTTGCTTTGAGGATTTTCCAGTCCAAATAAATTCCAGAACGATTCGAGGCACATGAACTCGAAATACGTAATATGAACCTGAGCGAAAGAGTTAAACAATACTACAACATTCAATATTGATTATGAAAAACTTTTAAAGTTTTTTTTGTTTTTGTTTTATTTGATAAGGAAATAATCGAAATAAACCCGCCGGTCTCAGCGGTAAAAAAAATTAACATCACCATTGGAGTAGACAGTCTCTGTGTTTACATTTTTCTTCGACGGGTCTACGGTTCGGGAAGCCGATCTCAGTGCTATCACCCTTGCCATTAGGTATATTTGGACGCGATCTACGGTAACTGGGTCTAATACTCGGCGTTGAGGCTTTTTAGTAAATTTCCGGGGAAAAAAAAGTTTCAAAAACAAATGTAGTCTGAACTTATCTTTTGAGGATGTCCTATCGCACAGTTAAGAATAACTTCCAGCACTTAAGAAAGTAAACAAGAAAGAAAGAGAAACGATTCATAATCGAAACAGTACAAGCAAATGATAAAGCTTGAATGCTGTTACGTTTTCTCTGTAGTTATACCCTGTAAGTTATCATTCAATGTCAACTTCTCTGTTTCGCGTCCAAGTATGCTGAGGACGAGTATTTTTAAGAGCCAAAATCGTTAATTTTCAAAAACGAAGGTCTGCTGTGAACCTAGGTAGATGTGTAGTGTAACGCGCTCGAAAAATTCCGCAACAGCTTACTTTTCAACCTAAGACCTTGCTTTGACAGGTTAACATATTTCCTTACGAAATTTTTTTCTAACTGGCGCGCTTCGCGCTCTAGAGCTCCGCTATGATTAATCGAAAAAAGGCGGGAATTCACCACAGAATTTCTCTTTTCTTTTCTTGACAATGGCAGCGCCGCCAAGTCACAAAGCGACGAGCGAAAGAGAAAAAAAATCATCTTGGTTTCGGAATTCTCTCGCTCGCCATAATCTTATAAACATTTTTTTTGCGTCGGCAAGGTATAGAAGAACATTTTCGTGAGGAGATGTTAAGTTCTGAGACTAAGACAATTTTCCGGAAAAAAAATTTCTTTGAATCTCATTTTATGTTTTCGGGAAAATCTCATTATAGGAAATCCCTTGGCACTGTATCACAGAGGAAAGAATTTGCGGGTTCCGCATCATCTCAGTGGCTTAGTTGAACCCGAAACTGAAAAACGCACAGAGATCGAGGGATGACATCCGCAGATTTTTTTTTTTTACTATCAACCGACAATTTTAAAGGTTAATTTTCGTCCTAAATCTGTCTTTTCTGTGACACGACTCAATGTAGGTGCTTATCCCCTTTTCCCAAAATCTTGACAAACATTGTCATGATAATATTAATGCGTCTCGAACAACGCATAATCTGTAATTTGAAAACAAGCCAGATTCTCTTTGTGTGTCATTGATACCAGGATGGAGTTTTCGATATAGACCTTGAGTGGCCTATTGTGGGGTAAAACTGATATCCTGGCTGCGTATCGACGATTACTGTAATGTTTGCTGTCTATTTTATTTCTATATTTTTCGATTCAGCAGCCATATCTTCACGAGATTTTTGAAAGGAATCTTGGAAGAGCTATCGAGCTGTAGATTTTCCTCTCAGTCGAAAATCAACAAGTGTTTTTTTTTATTTTCGGGTTAATTTGCCACTTTTGTGACGGAAACCGAAATATCGTTTCCGATATCCTCGGACGAGTTTGACCAAAATTAATTTGTCGTCTTCGTTATTTCCCCTTTAATATTACACATAGCGCAAATTTCTGGAACAAAATTACAAATTTTTAAAGATGTTCTTTTGGTTTTGCATCAGAACTCCGTTAATGAAAAATAATAAATAAAATTATGAGAAAAAGAAAAACAGTTCCCAGGAGGCTGATAAATAATTTATTCACCAATTACATTTTAATTGCCTATTCGTTCACAACTTCGACGTTGTTATGACTGCTAATTATACATAAAATGAGAAATAATTTACCAAAACAGCAAGAACACTTTTGTAAAAGTTACGTCACGTTTTAGAACGCTATTTAGTCCTTTAGTATTTATAATTAAACACAGCGATACTGCTGGTCTACTTGAGAGCACAATAGATGATGGTTAAGAAATTTCTCGCAAGCTGTGAAGGAATATGATAGAAACACCGCCTGGCGGTTGATAAATCTATTAAATCTCTGAATGACCCATACTTACGCTTTAACTAAATACTTGAGCAGTTTAAATTCGTTGACGAGCTCCTTATGGTTAAAGCTAAAAAATTCAAGTTCAAAACGAAATCGAAAACCAGCACGAATTGCTGAATCTGTTCGAAAACATTGTGAAATGATTACAGTGTAAGCCATGATTCACAAACAGAATTTCAATACTTTGTGAAAATCATAGCACAGATGTAACATTATGTACTGTCCCCGGAAGCCGAAACTCGGAGTGAAAATTCACACTGACTCATACTAGTCGAGTGATTGGCGATACGATAAGCATGCCGGATAAATCAGGTTTCTTGACTCGGTGCTGAAGGCTGTGATCAACCAAAAATAATGAGACTTCTAATTCGCATGTTAACGTACCTTTACACGTCGTTTGGCCAAGCTAGTTGCCTTCAATATATTTCTGTCAATAACGTCTGTATGAAAGCGGCACAAGTTGTTCGTTTCAATTTACCACCACTCTGGGTCACTGTCTAGAACATGTTGTTATGCAAACAAATTTCACAAGTCGTTCCGAATTGTCTTGCCGCTTTCATTCACGGTTGAGAGACTACCAGCAGTAACACGTAAGTTCAGCGCGAATCATGGTATCACTCGAACCACCACAATTATTCTTTCCCGGAGGTCAATTTGTTGCAATAACCGGGGTACAATATTGGGAAAATAGCATTCGGCGGAAATGATTGAAGTTCCCACTGGATAAACATCATTCCTTTTATGGGGTGTCACCGACAGTTCTTGATGACGACATCATCATCTTTGGATTGTTGAAGTTCCTTTTTGGTGCAATGTCACGATTTGTCCGTGGTGTAAAATTTAACACTGTATTTCTCAAATTTCCATAGTTCGTCTATCATCTTCAATCTGGGTCTGTCTTATCCATCTGTAGCCATCCCCATTCAATTTTTAGCTTATGCATGCCTTGAGAGTTTGTCTACCTTTGCATACTGAGTTGAAAACGTTAATTGAGCACCGTGAAGAGTTAAAATGCTGAAGTTTCGAGTGTTAGCCTTTCGTCGGAGTGATTGGAGGAATTGTGGGTTGTGTGGGGGTTTTATTTACTGTTTTATCAGTTACACTTTATGATCAGTATACATATTCTCCATACGGTTTTACCTCCATTTCCTATTGCACTGAAAAGGAGAATTTGTTCAACAATGAAGAGTTTCTTTAGTTGGCGGTCATTCCTTTTACCCTCGAGATAGCCACTCTCATGAGGTAAATGGGTTGTAGGTTTCTTCTCAGGGGAGACAGATAATAGAGATGAGAACAGGGAAGAGAGCAGCAGCGTCAGACATACCTGCGCATCGTATTAGGCTTAGATTTTTTGGGGGTAATTTAGTGTTATCAACTGAGCTGAAAACGTAAATTGGCCAGCGTAAAGAGTTTAAAGGCTGAAGTTTCGAGCGTTAGCCCTTCGTCGATCGCTCTGACGTTTACGTTTACGTTCTTTACGTTTTCAGCTCAGTTGATAACACTAAATTACCCTGTTATACTCTCCCACTGACGCAGCACCACAGTTTCTTAAGAAACATACCCCCTTATTATATTTTTTCGGTCGAGGATTTACTTTTGATAACAAACACCGATGGAAGGGTTGAATAAAAAATAAAAAATATTCAGCGCCCATCTTACATCAGATTACGTCAACGATAGGCTTTGGTGGGGATTAAAATTCAAACAAATAAAAAAACAAATAAAATTAAACAGAGGAACGATAACACCAAGATCCATTGTAAAGCCATAGGTTCGAAGTTTGTTCGATTACCATTTTTTTTTGGGGGGAGGGGTTGGGGGGAGGGTTAGGAAGAGGACAGTCGTAAGGGTTCTCACACAATAGCGGCAGGTTATTTGTGTTGCTGACCTGAATTCGCAGAGAGTTTTTCGGACGCGTAGTTGTAGAACACAACGCTTTAATCCAGGTCAACTCGTGATTGCGTACTACTTTCAAATTACAGACATTTGTGTTATCTCGAATTGATCTACGCCTACGGTAATAACTGAACGAAGAAAACCTTAATTAAGAGTACATCAGGGGTAAAAGGAAATTGTAAACCTCATACTTTCGTATTCTGTGCAATAGACAGTGGGAAAAGAACAAATACTGTAAAAAACGAGCAAAGCAATCGCAGTCCCCGACACGAAACTACTTTTTAAGACAAAAGCCATGTGCTACCGAGCTACCGTGACTTAGTCAATATCAGTTCGTGCATTCGGCTGCTAGTCGGCCCTAACAACTTGGACAGACAGAGGCTTAATTAATCCGGAGTAAAGGGTGAGTCGTTAAGTTTTTGGTGCGCGACATATAATACGAGGGCTTTTGGGTGGGTTAAAAGGACTTTAATAACTTCACTGGGTGGGACGAAACTTTGCGAGGTGGAAATTTTAAAAGGTACTTTTTGGGTGTTCGTAATTTGCAGAATATGTATTCCCACTTGATTGCTTTTCTCTTTGAAAAGCAGATTCCTGTTTGTTCTCCTTTTCTGGCTCGCGACTCAAGTGGACAGACAGCTTTGTTAAGAGGACATTAATCACATAATTTTAGATGATCATTTCACAGTCAGTGACTCTCGTTATACACAAAGACTATTATTTAATGCTGTTGGACCCCCTGAGTGACATCGACACTCCTGGTCGCCTTCCTGTCTAGACAGATATTTTGATAAAAATACCTGAACAAACCGATTTATGTCTATGCCAAATTAAAATCGAGGTGTGGCCAAACACATTAATTATCGACTAATTAGTATTTCAGCGTCTGACATTATGACACAAATCTTAGAGGAATCAATCATGTATTTGCTGACTCAAATTTTGCCACTTTTCCGCAACCTCGTTCCCATGGCCTTTTCCCTTACTTCCCCCAGGTAAGGGAACAGGCCATGGGAGCGAGGTTGACTTTTCCGCGCCTTTCCTGTCCTCCTAACGGGACAGACTGGTTTTAAAAGGTTGTTTCTCAAAGATGAATTCATTGTACTACATTTTCTCAACCCAAGAAAACCATAAAATAAAAAACAAGGCAGGAATGAAGAAAAAAGGAAATAAAATGAAACAACACGAAATGAATTTTATCAAGGAGGGAGATCGAATGAAGCGCGCACGACATGGGGCTTGGGACGAGGTCAGTTATCGTATCCAGATCCCATAGGGCTGATCCCATACCTGCATATAGAGCAAGATGGCTGACAGGCAAGTCATTTCTCCAAATTTCTTCAATCTTCCCTGGGAAGACGTTGTTTTTCCGCATATATTTCCCTGTTTCACCATACCACAGTTATTTCAGCTTAGAAAAGTATGCATATTCTTCCGAGAGGCTTGTGATTCGTACTTCTCTTGGCAAAGAACTCTAGATTGTAGCCGGATTTCATCTCGCCTTACATCGAATGCTTTCATGTTAATGACTAAATCAAATTCTTGTTTACGAACGCTGGTCCTGAAGAACTGCAAAAGCTGGCTGAGCGATGACGTCTTGGTTGAATTATTAAAGCGAAATACTCGGCTATGTGAGCTTGATTTAACTGCTTGTTCGAGTTTGACAAATCTAGCGCTCTTCACGTTAGCGGAGTTTAACCCGGATTTGAAAGTGTTAAAGTTACGCGAATGTCGTTGGGTATCATCCGACGCCATTACGCAGTTATCTTTATGCTGCAATTCTCTTCAGATCATTGATTTGACGGGCTGCTGGGACGTCGCTGATTCATGTGTTTCCTCCCTAGCCTCGTGCTGCAATGGATTGCAAACTGTGCTTCTTAATGACTGTTATGGTATTAGCGATAATTGTGTTCGAATCATTGCAAACTCGTGTCCTCAGCTGAAACATCTCGGTTTACGAGGCTGTTGGCGAGTTTCCAATTCTGCTGTAAAACTGATCGGAGAATACTGCTCTTTACTCAGTGTTCTTGAAGTTAAGGATTGTCGAGATATTTCTGAAGTCAGTCTGGCCCGATTGAGGGTTCGCGGGGTGCAAATTGATGTCGAAAAAACCAAATGGCAACGAATGGCTATTGGCGTGAATGAAAATCGTGAACAAATGGATTGGCAATTTCCTTTAGTCAATCTTAATATCTAAAAGTTGGAACTTGTGTGCTTCCCTTACTCAGTGTGAGGAATGTGATCTACAAGTATCACAGTGCTCCTTTACAAGCGTCCTACGCGAATTTTTTTAGGGGAAGGGGGTGCATTCTATGTTGTCTTTTAAAGTAAGAGTTAAGTCTGTACTCAAGCCAAATAGCCCACATAACTAGAACTAAGGGGCCAGTCATTTATTGTCTGGGGGGGAGGGGAGAGGAGGATCTTTGGGGAGATCACATGGTTTTCAGGGGGAGCAGAGGGCAGATCAGTTGTCATCAACTGAAGATAAAGGGTGGGACTGTCAACAAGGGGGACTTCATAAGAATATTACAGAGTCTTAAGGGGATCAGGTAAATTTTATCATGAAACAACCAAAATCCCCCATAATAGAGTTTTGTATTACCAGTAGTATTGTTGGATATTTATAACTCCCCTCACCTCTTCATCCTTATTACCAAATTACCAACGCAGGATAATTTAATTGGACTTCTCTGCAGTCACTGTTTGTCCAAAGTTTATCAAGGTTAAGTAATGAGTGACAAAAAAAAAATTATTTAATTAAAAAGTGGGAAATAGCTAGATGAATTTTTACCTGTAAACAAATGTGTTATCCATGAGTTTTACATAAAGGGAGTCACCGTCACCCAGCCTTATACTCATACCAAATAACAATCCAAAAGTTAGATTGAAGTTTAATATTTTAAGTAGTAGGAGTAGGTAGGACACATGAAAACTAATGGCGTGATTTATGGCTAGTTTTACATTATGCTAATTTACAGTGGCACCTCCAACGTTTAAAACCATAGTGCAAATATTTTATTGTCCTCCCTGATGATGCCGTAGAACGGCGAAAGCTCGGAGTGAATAAAGAAAGAACCACAGTAGCACTTAAAGGCTTCATTTGATCAATATCCCACATCATTACGACATGCTACTAAAGGACACGTTCAAACGTTTCTTATAAAGAAGTTTTTTAAATACCTAATTCTCTAGTTATAAAGACATACACTCATTAGATTATATAGAATTTAGCTGAATAAGTCATTCCTTGATTTTGATTTAGATCCTAAAGGAAGCACTGGCAAAACATAATTAAAACAACTTAAATTTTAATAAAAAAAGAAAAAAGGACAGACTGTACACTAATTGGTAACCCTTCAACTCCTCTAAGTAATTAACATGTAACTTCTACCTATAATATCCAGACATCCAGCAAACAGGTAATGAGAATACGGAAAATTTTCAAGGGAAAGTTTTAATCTTGATCAAACAACAAATTCTCATAATTAATTTAAAGGGAAATGTGTAGCAGCCAGAGGGGAGAATTGACAATCAGATCTTGGGAGGTTAAAGGGTTAAGGTATGAGATTATGAGACCCTGCTTTGGACTCAAAAAAGTGTTCGCCTGTTGCAGGCACGTCATTATTCTCTCTCCATTGGGAGATTTGCAGAGCACTCAAGAGGCTGGTGTTTCCTTCACTTCTTGCTCTGAGTGACTCTCATTCAAACATAATTCCTAGCAACTCCTAATCTGACAGCCTAAACTCAATCATGTGCAATCTGCTGGACAACATGCGTTAAAGTTTTTGAAAGTTCTACTAATTGATCAAGTTACATAAAGAAATTGAAACAAACTACACAACAATCACCTTTCACTGTGTTCAAATCCTGCACTATAATGTAAAGAGAATTTTACAATAGAGAAGTTTTCTTGGTAGTAAGAGTGTTGATTCACTCAGAATATGTATTTACATAAAACAATACTTTAATTTAAATTAATATCTGAATAAAATGCTCTTGATATAGGCTGATGTCTCATCTGAAGGTTGATTGCCTTTGTCTTGTCACAGTCACGTTTTCCTGGAAAGTAACAGAAAAAATCTTGAGAATGGGGAATTTCATCTTAAGGTTAAGTTTTTTAACCTACTGGCATATTAACCCTTTTATTCCCAAATAAAATTTGTCATTCTCCTCAATGTCAACCGTACAATTCTTACAGGGTTAGTTCAGAGAATTTAGTATTGGATCAACTAATCATCCCACAAATTGATATTTTTCTTTATTCTCATCACTTATCTGGTTAGTATTGTATTGATATTGTAAGGAGAAAATTCTGTCTTGGTCACTCATGGGAGTTAAAGGGTTAAAACCCATTTTAATTGAGGGCCATAAAACCCAAAACCCAAGCTCTAATGGGTGTGTGATATGCTAAGATGATGTTAACTATAATGATGTTAAGGACAATAATGATTAAGAAAAGTAATGTTATTATTACAATTATTATTTTTGTTAGTGGAGTTTTATTTAGTAACACTACTTAACAATCAGGCTCAGTTTCTAACCTGGACCTCGACAATTATTACAAACTGGGGTGGAGACTTACCAGCTTCCATTGAAGAATTTTGATCCACTCTTCAGCTTCTTGTGTTGAATTTGCATAACAGAAGAATGTTCTGTATGGCATGACAATCCTGAGGAAAAAGAGATTTGAAGCATGTTCAGTTTCAAATGTCTGTACAAGGTAGCTTTTGTTCCATATTTAAGGCTTTAAGCCTCTAACTTCCAAGATCTGAATGCTAATTCTCCCCTCTAGCTGCTACACATTTTCTTTTTACCCTTTAACTCCCAGATCAAATTTGTAATTCTCCCTGCTGTCAACAATACAATTCTTATGATGTTAGTTCAGAGAATTAAGTATTTGATCAACTAATTATCCCCAAATTGATCTTTTTCTTTATTCTCATCCCTTATCTGGTTGATATTGTAGAGAAATTGTAAGGAGAAATTCTGTCTTGGTCAGTCATGGGAGTTTAAGGGTTAAAGCAGTTACAAGAATTTGGTGTGAGATCAAGATAACAAATTCTACCTGATAAGTGTGAGTATTTTCATCACCTGTTTGCTGGATGATGTATAAATATTTTAGGGAGATAATAAATATTAATCACTTCTGGAAGTTAAAGGGTCGAGTCTCTAGCTTGGCTTGTGTGAATAGGCTCTTAGAGTTACTGGGGTGGAAGCCACCGAGGGAGCTTGTATTTTGCTTTTCTCCTTGTATCTGAACATACTTGCACCAAAGCATCTAGGAGGGACCTGTGTATCATCTAAATGGTAGAGTATTTTGGAAGAAAGGGACAGCCTGAGGTTTAAATTTTTACCTTTACCTCTCAAGTTCAAAACAGATATATTGAGAAATTGTTTTTCAGAAGAAACATTTGAGAGCAGCCAAAGAATGGGTCACAGGTCAGTGCAACAAAACTTACTTGTCTTCCACAATAATTAAACTCAAAGGTTACCTGAAACAATTTCCTTTTCCTAATGAGTCATCTCTTGCCACTTCCTGACATTCTTCAAGGTCTATTGTTTTAATAGGTTCTCTGTCCTTAATTGCAAAATTTAAGCAAGTTAGAAATCTGAAAAATTTGTTGCAACTAAAATAACTTTGTTATCTGGGCAAGTATGTGTCTTAGTTCAACAACTCACCCCTTTTGTTTTAAAGTACTTCAGTTCATTTTTCAGTAGCACAAACCACCTTGTTTTCCAATTCTGCAAGAAAAAAATTAATTATCTTAGTTTCACCAAATGTGAATTGTCTTAAAAGAACAAGAAATTCTCACACCTGATATATAAGAAAATGTATGGAAGTCAGACAGGAGAATTTGTAATCTGATCTTGAGAGTGGTAAAATGTGTTTTCTCACCTTTACTTTGCCACCAAGTTTAGTGAGATATCCTTCTTTTGAACCAAACTGGAAAAAAAAAAGAAAAAAAAAAAAAAAAGGCAAAGGGGTTTATTAACCCATTCGTTTCTCAACTGGCCATCCTACAGTCAAAAAGGCCATTTCACACTTAAGTTATTCAGACCAAAAACATATTTTACACAGATACCCAGAACAGGGGCAGTTTAGGATGTTGAGAAAGGGTTGATTGGAAAAGTCAAGAGAAAATTCTCCTCATCCAGTGGCTCCTTTTCATGGTAAGAATTTTCTTATCATATTATTACTCTGAACACTTATTTGCTTAAAACTGTACAACAAGCAGACGGCAATTCAGACAACAAGGAGTTCTCAGGGTAGACAGAGGAAATATGAAAGAAAATATCCTCATTCCACATTAAGAATTATCAATCTTAGATTATCAATTCTCAGTGAGTTATTTAAGGTGATTGAATGGGTGAGACCAGCTGCCTGCGGCGATGACTCCCTTGCGAGATATATTGTGGATATGTTAATTACTGACAAAAGTTGTTCTCAGGACTACCATCACATACACTATCAGACAACAAAATTCAATACTAATCCCCCCCCAATACCCCCCCTAAAAAAAAAAAATCTTATAAGTTTCAAGCACAGATTTTAAGCAGTTCTTACTTACAGAATGATCCATAGAGTTTTCTATGCTACTTTTCCTATTTTTCCCCCACTCTGCATGTACTCGTACTTTCTCATAGGTTGTTGGTTCTTCAATATCTCTTGGATAAGGGTATTTCAATAAAGTAAGGACCCCTGTTAAAGGCAATAAACCATAAAGTAAATTATCTCATGATGAAGGTTTTCTGCTGGTTAATGAAAAAAAAGAGGGAGAAAGTAGTTTTCTCTCATTCACCTTACAATAACAGGAGGAAAGCACTCATTCTGTGAATGCTGTTGTTCAAAATTTGACCTCAATAATAGTACATATTATACTCACCCGAATCACCACCAATCAAAGGCTTATTTTCAAAATGTTCCACAAATTCACTGATATTTGAAAATGATCCCATTCCAAATTTAAACTGTGAACCATCCCAGCCAATTTGAAAATGCTTCACAGAACTGGCACATCTGAGAAAACAAAAAAAAAAGTGTCAATTTAAAAGTAAGATTCTCATCATTGTCTATACATCACTCTGTTGTGGCTTGTCTAATCTGTGTGCAGAAGTGTGCCTTTTGAGGGGTCTGTGTAACCACACCTCTACATTGTAACAGCTTGAATTGTTGCCACTGATACACCTATCAAAAGTTGGAAGGATTCTTCTGACCAAAGAGACAGCTGCTCTAAGTGCATCTGTTGTTGGGATCTTACAAACTGATCTGAGAGATCAAAATAACTTACCTCACTGATAATGAATATTCTCCTGGATTAGATGCACTAGCTCGAAGTAAATAACTCCCATCTCTACCATTAGCCATCAACAAGCCTTCTGCCACATGACGACTTACATTGTAGTGATACCAACTGAAAAATGAGCAAATGAAAAGTCATAATCTATTAGTTTCTCATGATAAAAACAACAAAAGAGAAATAAGGAAGGAAAAAAGGATAAAAGAGAACCAATTTATATAATTGAATGACTTAAGTTTAAGTTTAAGTTTCATGTACAACATGGCTATTTCCTAATGGCTCATTCCATTCCTAATGGCTTTATCATGTGTAATGCAAATTTTAATATTCATATATAGTATTTTTTTGCCTTTTTTTTATTTAGTTTTTTTTATTCTTTCTGTAATTAGTATTAAGTAATCATTTGTATAGTCCGTAATCCAGCCTTTTGGCAGCAATGGATTTTAATAAAGCTATCTATCTATAGTATCTAACTTCTGCCCGGTTCTAATTTTGGTCATAAATTCACCTTTAAAAACATTTGTAATGAGTAGGAACTTGATTAAAGCGGTTCCTTTGAATATAAAATAACGTGGGCTTATCTCTAAATTATTTGCGTTCGGTTATATACATATTGGAATATCGTTACAACGTGGTATTAGTGCTGCGAATATATAAACACAAACAAGACGCTTATTGATATATACAGATGGCAATCATTTTAACGTTTAGCTGAGGTCAAAAATTAAGAAAGACCTCTAGGAAAATAATACATGAACGCCGCTTAAAATTCCAAATAAATTGGAATGAGAAAATTGAACATCAACACACGTTTCCTGCCCCTTGCTAAATCGAACGTTTATTTTCAAGGGTTTTATTGTAAAAAATGCCCACCATTTTTCACGGTATTGTCACTCAATACGGTTTTAACAACCGCTCTATTTCCTTGTGTTAAAAAAACATCCGCTAAAATATAACAGGGTGGCCTAAATTTTCAACAAAGAAAGCAGTAGCCTATATTTTTCAATGAATGTACACAGCAGATGTTTAAAATACGTTTGTTACAAAGAGCTTGTGTAAAAATAAACGGAAAAAAATTATTTTCCAGACACAAAACTGGGGAAAAACTTCTCCAAAAAAATTATTACGCCAGAGTCAAATACATATCGAGATTGGCATCTGATAATTTCCCTTGTAAAATAATCAAACTCCATGGTTTTCTCGGTACGCGGTTCAAATTAACCAACGCATCCGAATTCCATACAAAGACACGTATGATATTTTCAAAGGAAATAAACCTCTGTGTTGCTTCGATCTTTCTGTTAGCTGTATATTTTGAACATTTAATATATAACGCTCCTTCATATTGATAAAGAGGGTTAAGATAGCGAGCATAGACCCTTACCTCAATTGTTCTACCTCAGCGTTCACTCCATGGCCGGCCATCTTTGTTGTATCTTTGTCAAAATTAGGAAATCATTGGCATAAATCCCCTCTGGGGATCCCAGGAGATTTCATTGTTGTATTTACTGAGTGGGGGACGGAAGGGCTGGGTGAATGCGAAACTTCCGGCCGGATGTAAAACAGTGGAAGAGAGTCAAATGCGAAAAAGCTTTAAAAGATGCACAGTTTCAATTGTTATTTACACTGACCAACTGGAAAGGTTTTTTTTCTTGCAAAAATGCTAAAAAATCACTTATTTGAAGTACATTCAACTGATGCATTCTAACAATTGTGGCGGAAATTCTTATGCTGTTAAAATTACTTTATTCATAAGTTTGTAAGACTTGTTAAATGTTGAGGTTAAACACGAAATACTTCTGATGTTTTGAAACAAAGGTCGCTCCTAGAACACGCCCCAAACTTCCATAACTGGTTTTATGTGTTCACCGTGTTTTTAGACACATGCAAATAAGCTTGTCTAGTTACTGGACGTTTCAATCAAGTAGTCCGCTTCAATTATTCATAACTACACAAACGCTAATTTGCATTCAGACGTTATGAAGAATAATTAATTTACGATCTAAAATAAGAACCGTAGATTGATTTACCTATTTGTGTCAGCAGGAAAATCAAAACAGAACTAAAGAATACGGAATGCAATTTTAGTTTAGCTCTAAGCCACACAGTAGTAAATTATTTGTCCGCACATTTTATCAGATTCTTACACGTGGTAATCAAGAAGTGAAGACTATTTGTAACGCTTTAAATCTTGCTAACATCCGAGTGGATAACGCCCTCCTACTTCTAATTAAAAATTGTAATAAAAAAACAAACGACAGTGACTTAATGAACAGATGGCTGATAATTTTTCCTCTCACCCACGCACCAGATGTCTGTCGCCCGTCTGACGTAAATAAACGACTAATTAAGTGTCTTATCGGTCTACTTACAGACTGCTAGTTTTCCTTTAAAGGTTTTCCTTGAGTCAAATGGAAATTTTATTTACATTTCGGCCAACGAGAAAGATAATAAAACGCTATGCAAAGACGCTTAAAGTTGCAAATTCTCCTAACCTTCAGCTGCCTACAATTTAATTTGCTATACCTTTAAATGCAGATGTCCCGCAACAAATTGAATACCGTATTTCCTCGTGTAAGCGCCCACGCTCTGATAAGCGCTTTCCCCCGAATAAGCGCCCATCCCTTAGGGCCTAGGCCATACGGTCAAAAGAGCGCGCCTATATCGAATAAGCACCTCCCCTACCCAACCTCTCCTCACCCTATGCCCTCACTTTCTCAAATAGTAGAGATCATGAATGAAAACCTGTCTCTATAACCACTTTAACGAAGACTTTTAAGGCTCCGTCTTAAGTGGAATCAGTACAGGAGAATAATAAGTTTCTCCCTCGATATAGCGCTCTCCTCCCCATCAGCGCCTCTCCGTGAAACCGAATTTTAGATAAGCATCTGGGCTCTCACGCGATGCAATGCAATATCTTTCTTAGCCTTTCTCAGTTGTTAGTTGGGAGCGTGAGCCTGTGTCATGAAAGGGCTAATTAGCTGACTGCTAGTTTGCTCTTGCCTTAATTTTTTTTCTTCATCTTCAGTTGAACTTATTCATATCCATAACAGCATTTTTTCATCATAAAGAAAGAAATAAGAAATTCTACGTTAGCCACTAAACATTCAAAGAAAATGATATATGTCCCCTCCCATCCCACCCTAGAAAGGCATAAGAAAGCACTGAAACCAGTTCCCTCTCGACATTGTCGCCTGGAGTATTTTAGCAAATCTTGGAACATGTCGCTGGTAACTTGCCCGTCCTAACTTTATTCATCTCTTTTGCATGATTTTTCGATAATAAGATTTTCATTGATGTATTTTCCTGTTTGCAGGATAGTGAGTTGTCATATGCACATCGTGATGGGCGATTGCTGGAAATTATTGACGAAAACTGGCAAAAGGACAAGCTACCTAACGACGGTGTGTAGATGAACGGCGTTAACCTTGAAGCATAGTTCGGCATTCACACAGATAACTCGAGATCACGGGGAAAGAAAAATATTACTAAGTAACAGAGTTGAAATTCATTGGTTCAAATACTCTCAGCAATCTTCATGGCAGATGCCCGTGAGATCCTTTCGAACAGAGAGTTTGTTCGGAGAATGACCTCGTTCAACCTCGTTTCACAGCTGTTGTCTCGGGTTAACATTGGTTCCTCGTTTATTAAGATAATCGAATGGTGCCATATCAGTAAATCAGGTTGTTATTCTTGGCAATCGCCGCTCGAAACAAAAGTAGCTATGCTATCCAAGGGTATTAGAGAACAACTTTGGGTAAGAGTCTCGCCCTCATTCATCGTTCAAACCCAGCCTTTTGATCCAGTGTGCAGAGCACAAATCATTGAGCTGCCATGCCTCTCCTATGCCACACTAAACTGCATCACAAGGGAAAGCGAGGGGAAAGTCCATGAGTACCCACCTCCCCCTACCCTGTGAGGAATATTATTTTCATTCAACCACGTACAGTTTACAAAACCATATGAGTGTATCTCGTATTATATATTGTATTATAACTGAGCCCCTTTTCAACTTTAACCTTCAACTGACTTCTCATTCTGTTTTAGAAATTGCTGTTCCAGAATTTGAACTTCCACCTGTGGACGACAGTGACCGTGAGTATAGACCATTATTTCTACTGTAGTGCAAGGCTTTCAAAGTTTTAGTGAAGGAAAGGTATGCTCAAAAGCATTTGTAAACATTTCATCAGATGTTAGACTATTGTTTAAAACATCAAAATTGGTTGGAACCATAATTTGATGATCGATCCCTGAAGATGAAATGATACTCTTTCAGGCAAATAATTCTCTTGTGAGTCCAGTAACCACTGCACAACACTATTCTGTGCAAGGGTTCTGTTGTCTCATTAATTGAAAATCAGTTGTCATGTGTTTCTCTTTCACTTTTACAGACAATGGAGCCACAGACTCCCTAAAAGAGCAAGAACAGAAATGGACAGATCTTGGAATCCAGCAGCTACAGGAATCACCACAGCACACTGGAAACTAAATGAAAACATTGTATTTGACAAAATGCTAGTTACTAAGAAAGCTAGGGAAGAGAAAAACAAATCCATCGATATAAAGTTAGCGATGGTTTTAGTTCCCTATCAAACCATGATAATTTAAGTTTACATATTTCCTTTTCCTACAAATAAATAAATTAACCTTTTACACCCTAACATCAGTATGCATATTCTCCATACTGATCTCTGGACATTTCCCAAGGTGCTGACAAGGAGAATTAGCTTAACAATCCAGAGCTTCTGTAGTTAACGATCATTTCCATTATCCTCATGACTTTAGTTTGTGATTCAGGGGTGATATTGTGAGGAGAATTTAGATGCTACTCACTCTTAGACGTTAAAGGGTTAAGCAATAGACTGCACTTCCTATTGGTTTACTGGCAAAATAACACACTTAGGATGTTGGGAAAACATGAAAAGTTTGTGGTAAATTATGAGTGGTGTACTCATTAAATACTGCCCCACAGAGAATAGTGAAAGATTTGCTGCAAGCACAGGAATAAGTACTACCAGTTGCAAAGACTATTGAGATTAAAAAGTTGTTTGGGTTGGAAGAAGAGCATGTAAGATTAACCAACCAGGTGTTATGACTATAATAGTAACATCTGAGAACATAGTGCACAGTTTCTCTATTTCTGAATTGCCTGTACCTACCGTTTACATTACTTTTCGTAACCTTTTTCACACAGAATTCATTACGACAAATTTTCAAAAGAACCTGTGTTGAGTTTTATTTTCTTTTTTCAAGGATTTTTTTTTAAGTACAAACTCTAGAGGCCAAATAGTTACTTAACAACCATCAGTATTACTATTGTGTAACAAGAATACCTAAACATGCAGTTACGATGCTCTTAGTATGAAAATAATTTACATATGAAATGTATAAAATTTAACATAAAATATGTTTTGAAAATGTAAAGTGTATCTTGACTCATGCCTGTACAATGAACGGTAATAAAGATAATAAATTTGAAAATATGGGTTTTCATGTAAACACAGTATAAATATCATTAATTTGAGTACAATGTACAAATGCAGTTTGTGGAGCATAGAACTTGGCACAAAATTACAAACATTAAATAAATCTACACCAAGAGTTAACATTTAAGGTGTAGCTTCCCTAAAGAACATAAATGTGAACTTGAACATAACAGAGAGGGTTTTTTCAAACCTGTTTCTTATTACCAAAGGTGACAAACTTACACCTTCTCGTCACAATTTCAATACAATATCCAACAAGAAAGTGATGAGAATAAACAGAGTAATCAACTAGAAAATGCTTTCTTAATAGGTAACCAAATTCTCATAACTAATATATAAGCAAATGTATGACAAGTTAAAGGAGAGTTGCATATCAAATCTTGAAAGGAAAAAGGATATAAGGAAGGGCAGATATCATTTTATCTGCCAGACAAATTGTTACTCTGAAGATAATAGTAGTGAACGCTGTAGTTTGTGTTATCAACACTTATCTCTTAAAGGTGATAGCTTTGAGATTCATACATTAAGAGCTTGAAAAAAACTTTAGTCAGAACATGAGGAATAATACTTGTATCACACCACACCAAAATGTACAATTTTCAGTGTTCCAGCAGGATTTGCTATCTCCTCTGAATCATCAATTCCCAGCTGCCAAGAAAATCGTTCAATTACTAATTAAACATCAGTATATGTAACTAAAAGATTCCACAATGTTGAGCATCTGTTCAGTAATAAGTCACAGTTTACATTAAATGTGGTAAGAACAAAAAAGTGGCACATGAGGTGTATCTGATTGTGTCACTGACATTCTTGCCATATTTTGAAGTCTTCTGTGATCTATAACTGAACAAACCCATCGCAAAATGGGAAGGATTTCTTATGTTTTACATAATAATAAAGCAAAAAGTTGTGAGACCAATCTAGATGTCTGTAAAAGCTAACATAAACTGGTATGGCATATGACTATGAAATCTTAGGTCCCAGGTTTGATTCCTTGTTTATTAATGCCTGTGAAAAAGCTCAACATCTTTACTCAATATGTTTTGTTTAATCCTAATCAAAAAAGAGTGTTAATGATGGGAATTTCACCAACTCCAAGAACAAGTTGCTTTGTAAAAGGATGCAGAACTAACATGGCAGCAGAACTTATCAATCTGTAAGTTATGTTTATTGAATAGGTCGGAGTACTAATATTGATGTGAGTTGAATATGCAAGTTTACCATAAACTTACCTCATCAATTCCTTGCCCTGAATAGTGCTGACCTAGAATGAAAGACAAAGGCAGGAAATAATAATAAAAATAAAACTGTCAGTAATTCAAAGTGGGAAAATCAAGTATGTTTGAGATAATCAGACAAGAGAAAATAGTCATATGAAATGTCTGCTATTTTGAGGTACAGGTGTAGTCATCAAAAACATGATGTTACAAAATTACCAAGTCCACTTATTTTGCATCTTCTGCAGAGTTAATGGTGTTCCTTTAAAACTAGTTTTTTAAAACCTATTCAGAAATTGGTATTTTTTCCTATCACACTTCTGCAATTTTTCAAATGATGTGGGTCATTACATCTTCCTGTCATCAAAAAAATGTTACCCAACGATTTAGAGAAGGAAGAAAGTGAACTCTATAAACATTATCAGTGATGAGCAGCACTGAAACTCACTTCTTTGTGCTCCTTGCATAAAATTGGCACCATCACTGTCCTCATCCTCCAATGGCATCAGGTGATGGGATGTTACTGTGTGATTATGCATGTAATCATACTCATCATTGTGATAATAAACACCATCACTACTCCTTATAAGACCATTGGCCATTTCCTCCTCAATGTAGGACAGGTCCTCTTCTTCATCATCATATGATTCACCAGTATCTTACAAATGAAATCAAAGTGTTAATAAGAGTCAATTTCTTTCAAGTGTTGTAAAAAACAAACCAAAATTATCACAGCTGCCAGTAAGAGTGGAAGAAAAAAACACGGAGCCAATGAGAAATCAAAGCAAAAAAACTTTAACACCCTGAATCGCTGAAAAGTTGGTGAAATTTAGGAAATGACATTTGAGCAAATTTAAAACACAGTGCGTTGATATAGAGCAGACAAGGAAGAATAGGAAAATAGTTGTATAATAAAACCTTTGTCTCTAATTATGTCACAGTGGAACAGAAATCCCCATATTAGTGGAAAGTGTAATTTCTTTTCTCACTTAATCTGTTTTCCTTTGGAATGGATTTACTTTTACTGGGCCAGATGGCTTCTTGTTGACTGGGTCATCATGATCACTTCAACTCATCTTGCCAGACACACAAAACTTTGCACTAAAATGGTTTACTAATAAAAAGATTGCATAGGCAAGGCCTTGCAGGTCATGTGAAAAACCTGTTTAGTATTATTTACTTTTTGATACAAATGTACCTGATGTTAGAGATTCATTGTCAATTTGTATGGCTCTTTGCTTTGCTACTTCAGCAAGTGGTAAATTACCAAGGTCAGCAGCCAGGTAATGAATGTCCTACCAAAGGAAGCAAAATAAACCTTCATTATAACACCTTATAGTTTATACAAACATGACAAAGAGCTGAAAAATAAATGACCACAAAAGATTAGAAATGAAAAACTTCACAACACGAAAAAAGACATGAAATTGTAGAAACAAGTAAAATACATGTTGTAATCAAAGTGATCTTGATTAACAATTGGCTCACCATGAAAAGGTCTTTTGCTCCTATGTCTACAGCTAATAGAAATGCCTTTTCAAATCTTCTAAATCTAGTATAACCATGTAAAAGAGCAAAAAATAAAGCAACATTTAATTTAATAGTTTATTGTGAAATTATAATAATTTGCTGTTAACTTTATTACATCTAGGCCCTGTTGTAGAGAATTAATCTAAAAATGGGAACCAGTTATTGGGGATTAAGGACAATCTACATCAGTGACTAAGACAGATTTTCTCCTCACAATATCAACAGAAAATCAAGCAGACAAGTATTGAGAATAAAGAAAAATATCAATTAAGGGATTATTTGTTGATCAAATACCAAATTCTCCAAATTGATGTTATGAGAATTGTATAACAGACAGTAAGGAGAGTTGGGAGTGAAAGAGTGAAAACCTTCAAAATTTTCATACTGGACAGTCTGAGATTTTTTTGAGTGTAATCAAAATTTTAGGTAATTGTCAGTATCCAAGCTTTAACCCTCCACAACCAAGAGCATTTACTACCCAATTTCTGCTAAGACTATCGAGACATTTGTAGGCAGAAAGGTGACCAGGAGATCATATCAATGAGGAGAACTTCTCTGATCAAACAGCAGATTCTCAAAGCTAAAAATAAATGAGATGTATCAAACTGAAAGACTTTTAAACTGGGATGTTAAGAGCAAAAGGTATAAGTTAAGTGACATAAACACCTAAGCAAGTGATGGAAGAATCTTCTAGACAATTTACTGATCATGTCTCTGTGATGTAGAACTGTTTCATCTGAGAGCGGTCGGCTGGGTGCATAAAAACTACCAAGTGTCTCTTCAAGAAGACCTGAGGAGGAAAATTCAGGACTGAAATGCCAAGTTGGTGGTAACATAGTTTGCCACAACTATTGTAAACTATGAAATTGGAAAATTGTGTTGTCCCATAGGAGAATTAGAATCATAAATTGCAACTAATGGTCTTCTTAATTACCTTCCCTCTCAGAGTTCAGTGGAAGTTTTAGTAGATAATTCATAATAATGGACATGCAGGCAAAACAAGCATTGCCCTCCGTGTTCCAGTTCATACTGTTAAGAAAGTTCACTGCCTGTAAAATAAAAGGTACCAGTATCACTTATGATAATCAAACTTTTTCATAACATCAGAGACCAGTCTCTCTATCCTCACATGATAATGTTGATTTCCACACTACATACCTCTTCAGCTTGTTCATGTTTAATATACTCTGACACCAGCTCCACTGAGCCAAGTCGTCCATTTGTCAACACACCTAATTCAAGTCTCAACAAACACAAAGGTCCCCTGTAAAAGACAGAAACATTTAATGAAAATTTTCAAAATGAAGTCACTCACCTTTGGAAAGTGACCGTGAAACGGAATGAGCATTTACCATTAGACCACAAAGAGCTACCAACATTTAATTTCTCCTCACAGTATAAGCCTGAATCACACATTAAGGTCAGGAGAATAAAGGAAATGATCACCAACTAAAGAAGCTCTTGATTGTTAAACAAATTCTCCTTATCAGTACTTTAGGAAATGTAGAAAGAACAGTATAGAGAATTTGCATACTGATGATAGGGTGTCAAGGGTCGAGGAAAAATTGGTAGTGACCCTGCTGTCAAAAATTGTGTATCACTACAAACCTGTCAAACAAGATAACCAAGTTGTCATGGCAACATAAACTGTTGTCTGAGAGGTTACCGATAGGAGCTTCGCATGACCAGGACACCTTATTCAGTTTCACTGGGTTCCTAAAAGACAAATTCTAAATATTATCCTGTAAAATTTAGAACATAAAACAGAGTTCCTCTTCAAGGCGAAAAAAAGGGCCTGACATCCATTGATAGCAATTAGAGTTTATTCCTGTCACAGTTGGATAAAGAGACCATAAGTATTGTTTTTTCCACTAGATCACCCTCCCCTACTTTGCATCTTGTCTGGTTTTGCCCGCAATTTGCTTGTCCTTATCTACACTTTGGGGTGGGGAGAGACAGCACAAAGAAATTGTACCAACAATTCAATTTGCTGCTAATTAACAAAAAAGATACTTATTATAAAAAATATATCCACCTAAGAGACTTGGTAAGTTGAGCAAAAAAAATCAGTAATTCTTGTTGGGTTTTAGTAATCATCAAATGTTAAAAATCTGCTTACAGTAAGTATTCACGGAGCTTCAACGTATGTTGTGGGGAAGGATTTTCTGCTACAAGTTGAATAAGGACTGGAGCCAATGCCATGTCGTATACCTAGAAGAAATCCACACATTCATTAGTCATTGATTCAGTAATAACATTTAATAATAACACAATTTAAACCACCCATGCTAAAAAGCCTCAAAGAAATCTTTTGCGAAAGCTGCATTTAAAACTGGTGATTATTTGAAGGGAGTTAAAAGCTACACATTTCTTGTTGTATTTACCTTAATGTCTCCATCAGCACTACATACTAGCACCACAGCATCACCAGGATGCCAATGTATAATTGACGGAATCTAAAGAAATGCAACACATTCATCATTCAACACAAGATCAATCAATCAGTCAGTCAGCCAGTTAATCAGTCAGTTGATCAGTCAATCAATCAATTGATCAAAATTTTGATCAATCAATCAGTCACTGAGTCAATCAGTGAGTCAGCCAGCGAGTCAATGTGTCAGTCAATCAGTTAGTCAGTCATAATCAGTCAAGCAACTGAAAGTGCACTGAATATTTTTCACACAATTATAATATCATACATGAAATAAAACTATCAGCACATCAGAGTAAAATGTATAATCATGAAGCTGTGATGTGCACATTTCTTACCAGGCTGCCTTTTGTCATCTGGGTCACTCGTCTGTGGTCATCATACAGCATCTATCAAGAAATGTCATTCACATGCAGTCAGTGAGTCAGTAAATTGGTCATTGAGTTAGTCAGTCGGTCGGTTAATCAGCCAGTCAGTAAATCAGTCAGCCAGTCAGTCAGTCAGTCAGTCAGCAAACCAGTCAGTCAGTCAGTCAGTCAGTCAATCAGTCAGTCATTCAGTCAGTCAGTCAATCAACCAAAAGTACAAGGAAAGTTCTCAAAGGGGCTGTAATAGTTCATCATTTGTTTCATGTTACTTACTTGTCAAGGATTCCAATTTAGCTTTACTAAATAGATCGTCAAGATGAAGAATTACTAGCCATGTAATAAGCAACTTGAACTCTTAGACAATGTGTGATGTTTCATTTAAGTATCACAACAAGTATTTAAACTGCAAGGCTCAGTTTCCATACAATTAAGCACAATTTGAATAACATCTATTTTGTTCACATACCAAAGTGCCATCCTCACATCCCAGCAGTAGTTTGTCCTCAGCGTGATTTCTTTGTTGAACAATAATTGAAGCTAAACACATACCAGGATACAAATTGATGTCAGTAAAAATAACTGGAGAGGGTTGCATTATTTTTTAGAAAAAGGGTAAAAAAACAAACCAAGTTAACACCTGAATTTCCTTGTTCAATACCTTTTAATGGAATAGTGGTAGTAGAGAGTTTTTCAATCTGTTGAAGTAAAATTCACATATCAAAAAATACTGTTTATGGAAATTTTTACAAAAGATCCTGTTGACTGACGGAAATCAGGATAAGTGGTTGCAGAAATGGATTATTTGGCCTTTAACCCTTTCACCCTGAAGAGTGATAAGCATCTAATTTCTCCTTACAACATCACCCCTGAATCACACATTAAGGTCACGAGAATAAAGGAAATGATCACCATCAAAAGATGCTCTTGATTGTTCAACAAGTTCTCCTTATCAGCACCATAAGAAATGTATACAGAACAGTATGGAGAAGATGCATACTAATGTTGATGCACATAATTGTTACTTGACCAACCTTGGTGCCATTGTAAACATAAATACAACTATCAATGCTATTTTCTCCTCCTCCAGCTGATGACTGCTCCAAGGTAAGAATGTGGTGGGGCTGATTGAAACTAAGGAATTTAAGAAGAAAATATTTGTGAACATTGTTCAGGCATGTGATGATTAAACCAAATAAATATACAACAATGAGGCTACACAAGATGTGATGTAGGACATTAGAAAGAGAGTTCAAGGAGCAGAGGCTTAGAACCTGGAATGAAGCAGTCACAGATACACAGGAAAGCGCAAGCAGGAGACTGAGAGGGAGTGGCCCTATCTTCTCCAAGGAGAGGAAGGGAATGTGGTAATATTTCAAACAGATGTTACAAGCAGCGTTATATTTCAGTCCCATAGAATGTCAAGGATATCATGCATATGCAGGATAAGAAATTATTCAGTGGAGCTAGGGCCCTAAGCCATCATCCGTTAAATGAAATTCTGCCGAAGCCTGAACCCCAGCAATATAATTTACATTGAAAGGTTTGCCTCCGCCCAAAGATTAACACAAAACATTTCATGAACACTTTGTGAATAGACTAATTTTTGAACACAACCTGTTATAATTACATAATTTAATTTAGGCCATAGTATATTATTGTAATTATCATTACACAGTTTCTTGTTTATGTAACATACAATATGTATCTGTTATCTTATGGTTTATTAAAGTCAGACTTCAAGACTTTTAGATGATGATAACAAGGTCAAAAGTATTTACATACCTGAACAAAGCATGTACAGGCTCTGAGTCCGATCTAACAAAGGACAGCATCTCAATCTTTGGCCTTGATAATCATCAGAAATAAAAAGAAGCTTTAATCAGAGAAACAGATTAAAAAATGATTCATTTTGTATAACAATCATGTGCTGGTGGTATTCAAAATCCTTACCCATTCAAACTAAAGATGGCCATATTTGCTCTGTCCTTTTCAGCAGTCATTGGAGACCATGGCCAAGCTTCTTCACTGTGGCCAGACCACCAAACCAGTGCCTATTAACAATGATCAAAGGTTACATCTAATGAACTTCATGCCTCATTACTATTGGATATCATCCAAGTTTCCCTTACATAAGTTAATCCACTTGGATAAGACTCAAACCTACACCTCTGACTCTTTACACCCTAACATCAGTATGCATATTCTCCATACTGTTCTCTAGACATTTCCTAAGATACTGACATGGAGAATTTGTCTAACAATCAAGAGCTTCTTTAGTTGGTGATCAGCTCCTTCATTCTTGTGACCTTAAGGTTTGATTCAGGGGTGATATGGTAAGGAGAAATTAGATGCCAGTCACTCTTAGGAGTTGAAGGGTTAAAACCAGGGTCCAGGCTGATTATTAGCACATTACATTCCCCACAGCTTAAACTGCATCGATAACAATGAAATTTTTTGAGTGCTACTTAATTATTTTAATCCTCTTACCATGTCTTGGCGTGAGTTGATTGACAAGTGCCTGTCAAGTCTCTTACTTGATGGCCCAGGTAGATCAATGTACATTGTCTTAGAAAGAAGGTCAGTAAGAGAATAAAAATTACTACAGGTCAATATCAATATCTGGGCTACTGCCCACCTACCCCTCCCCTAACCCAACAACAGTCAATTGATAACAAGTTAGGGTTAATGTTGGGTTAGGGGAGGGGTAGGTGGGCAGTCGCCCAGATACTGATATCGATCCATTATTACAATAAATTTTAGTTGTGTTCCATAATGAGGAAAAGAGAAGATGCATTGAAGCCAGAAAAGTTGGAGAGAAGAGAATGGAGTTGAACAGGTACCCTGCAGTTTAGAGGATAGGATGTGGCATGTGGGGAAGAGGAGGGAGGGGGTAGCATAGTTAGGATTTTTCATAGGGGTGGGGGAGCAGAGTCTTGAATTTCTACATGCCTTCCATGAAAAAACTTGTATACCCTTGCACTGCCAGGTGTATCACTAGGACTGCATTTCTGAGGCAAGAAGGACCAGCAAATAACATAGGAGGTTTTGTTGGACAAAATTGACTAAAAAGATACTGTTCAATAGAACTACCTTTGGATCCATGGCTGACATTTTTTCCAGCTTTTTGAAGTCCAGGCTTGGTTTTTTGTTAAAATACATATAGCAAATTTTAGGTTTTTCCTTGAGCGAGAACAACAAAAAAGAGTCTCTGACAATTGCTGAAAATAAAAATAAGATACGTCACTCTCCAGCAGCATGTAAGGAAATTAGTACAGCTTTTCTTTATCATCCTTTTGACCACTGAAATGCACAGGTAGTATTTCTATCATAAGTTACTACAGTAACTACAGAGATTTAGTTATACCTAAACACGTAAAAATTAGCCTTATGAAGCTGCTAGAATTAATAATTGCAATAAATTAACATGATAAAGAATGCAAGATTAAATTACAGAAATACTTTAACACTTTAACACTGTAATCTAGTCTTGCATTCTTTATCATGTAAATTTATTGCAGTTATTAATACTCACAGAATTCATCATCCTAACATTTACCATGACAATGGCATCATAAAGACTCTGAAACATTGGTTCATATTGCTTATTTTTATGTGTTTAAGTTACTACAAAGTGTGAATATAATGTCAAGTTAATTGGAGTCAACAGGATCAACCATGAAATGCAAGTGTGCCAATCTACGTTATACTGTGTAGTTTTCAATGAACTTTGTGTTCTGGAGAACACGCTGCACCTGCACTGTGTTGCGCCTCATGAGTCCACAATATTTTTCCATAATGTTGACAAATATTGTTGTCAATAAGAGTACAGACCCCGCCAAACCACTGTCGATTTGTTAAGTTTTTATATACACTAGCCCAACTTGCCTCATCTTTGAGATGAGGCTCTACTGTTCCTTAGACATACCAACAAGGCTTGTTGGGCTAATCTACATAAAATGAATACAAAAGAATACTAATCAAGTCTGCCATTTAGGCATAAAATCCATCATATTAAGGATTTATTTGCATACCTTTGTTTATTGCATCAGGAACTTTTCCAGTTAAAGTCTTGTCAAGGGAAATTTTTTCAATATCACCAGAAGAAGAGGACACCAAGATGGAAATCAAAGATCCATTACTAAGAAGCACCTAATCATGAAAAGCAAATTAAAGCATCTTTATTAATTGTCTATCAGGGATCTGCCTGTGAGTAGAAAACAATGCCATTACTGAGAAGTCTTCCAAACAACTGCAAATTCCTTTTCCCCCTTTCAGAGTATGCTATGGATATTTATTAAGTAACATTTTATAACTATATGTTAAGGACTGAAATAATTAATTTTATATTTCAGGCACACATCACAAATGAATGACACATCGCCACAACAGATCACCAAAACAGGTCACCGCAACTGTCAGTTTCATGTGTGTTGCTTAAATATTAAATTTTTCCTCTTTTTTAACCCAAACCCTGACCCTGATTCACCTGTATATTTCTTAAAGTTCTCCATCGAACATCAAGGACTCTGTTCTGCTGTAACAAATCCTTCAAAAAGGAAAAAAAATCAAAGTAAGCAGATGATGGATTAGAAATAAGCAAAGAATGATTCTACAACTTCATTGATCTAACAACTTTTGTTTCTAAAGAGTCTCTTCACTGCATTTGAAGAAGAAGACCCTATAGAGTTAAGAACAATGTAACAGTAAAACTGCATAAAAGTTGAAAATATAAGGTATTGTTCTTGGAAAAAAAAAAAAAACTTGCCAAAATTTGCCTCAGTTTGATAGTTACATAGCTTTTTTAATTTCACAATAAATAAGAATATTTTCTTTAAAAAACATTCCAAAGATATAACAATTATTGATTTCTCCTTTGCTAACTATTCAATTATGTCTTGATAAAATAAGGAGAAAAAAAAGACTGATCAGGCCAACTTAGACAAGCAACTCCTGACCTCACACTCTTTAAGTACATCTCTTAGCTTCTCTGGTCTACGGTTTTTCGGTGTCCATGATATTCCCCTGTCCTCTCCCCAAAGTCTCCTTTGTTCAGAGTAAGATGTCTCCCCTGTAGGGCCTAGTAGACCAATGAATACACTCAATTAACTCTCCAGGGAGGAGAAGAGGTAAGCACTTCCTACAATAATTCTTCAACAGCTTAGCAAGAGGGGGGAGGGCTCGGGATGCCCATGATCCCCCTTTATAAGCCTTTTTTGGAGGTAAAACATGGCATGGAGGTCAACATAGCAATCAAGTGTGTATCCTCTGTTTGAAACAATGTGATTCTCCCTTTGAAAAATCTCGGCTATGCTCCTGTTCTTTGCTAAAAAGGGTGCAGAAAGGTGTGAGGAAGATAAAATTTTGTACATGCAACAAAGTATAATGAATTCCGTCATGAGATGTTGAAGTATAATGGTTGATCATCATGTTTTCCAAATTTAACCCATCATCTGAGGCAAAATTTATTAAAGAAATTCCTTCACCTGGAAGTTTACACTCAGTAATCAACTGATACTTCCAGGTTCAAATCAATTTCAGAGGAAATTTTTCCACTTATCAGACAAGTTTTTCTCATATGATATCTTCCAACATACCATTTTCACAAAAATATCATTACTGGAAAATCAAATCCTTTACATAGAACAGTAAACAAAAAAATTGCCACCTGTACCAGAAGCTTTGTCATGGTAAATATGGGTGCCAATATCAGAACCTGTGTTGGACAGAAAATAACATAAATATTACCCATTCCACAAGGAGTGTGTTCAGATTTACTACTAAACACGAATATTCAGGATCAAAACAGGTTTAATTTATTTACATAGAACCATAAATAGTTTTCATGGATCTTCCAATGAGTTATCAAAGAAGCCATTGATACTTTCCCTCTCCTAATCTATATTTATGATCGTGCCCATAGTAAAAATTTTTAAACTGGGAAAAACAAAATCTATGGAAACAACGTTTTTCAAAGGATTATTGAAAGCAGACTGCTGCAATTTTAGTCACAAAATCCTCATAGCTTTATCAAAGCAACATTTGAATAAATATCATCTCTCAAACTTTTACTGACAAATGAGGACTAAGGTTCTTTCACTGTTAATCATGAGTGTTTTAGCACCGATCATGACACTCTTTTAATTTTTTATACGACATACACTTCTCACTTCGATAAGACTTTGATAACAATAGCATTTGATATTATTGTGATGGAAAACTACTTCTGTCGCCTCGAAATTTTAAAGCTCACGGGAAGCTGAGGATTCTTTAGCCGGTGAGAGCAATGGAATTTTTAGTCACACTTGCCTGTCCTGTTTGCAAACTTCCTCAATGACCAGAAGTGCAAATGGCCAAGTAAGCTTGCCATCTAATCACTACACGGTGAGTTCGTTCATGTTACATAAGTCACGAACTCACGAACTCAACAAAGTCAGCCATTTTATGTTTCAACGTGGTACGTTGTGTACATTACATATTCTATCCTACTAACTTTAATGTTCTTTCCTCAATGTTCTTTTGAATGATCGTATTAAAGTATCAATGAATTGAGTAACTTGTAACGTAAAGAGTACGTTTCCTCTTTTTCATTTATTTTCAAGTATATCGTTAGAATCATATACAGAAAAGAGTATCCATGTAAACCTTGTTTGCAGATTCCTATCTCTTCTTTCATTTCGTGAGGAAGCTTCCTCGAGAGAGGAGCCCTGGGAATAAGATTTTATCCTCGCTTTCAAGATGAGGGTCGGCTAAGCTTTCATGTTCTTCTGCCCTGATTGATCAATTGCTCTTTTCATCATGAGCGAAGTTACTTCTGAAACACATTCCAGCGATGATGGGAAACCCAAATCCTCGCTTCGGAAGTGTATCTCGCTCCTTAAAGTGGCAAAGACAGACACGGAGCGTTTTGCCGCATTGATGTTGGTCACTCAGTTGGTCAGTTCGAACGAAGTTGATGTCGCTGGTCGAAGGGAACTTTTTGACGCTATCGGTTTCAAGTTTTTGAACAGATTGTTGAGTACCCGAAATGTACCCAACGGCTGTCCTCCAGATGTGTATCAATCGCTCTCGTTGACTATTCTGGCCTGCTTTGCAACTGATGAAGAGCTCTGCTCTCACAGCGAGATGATAAATAAAATTCCAATGCTCCTGACCACCATCAAAGCAGCGGGACCAAACGAATCTGCGATCGCGGACGATTGTTACCAAATTCTCGCCTCCTTCGCTGGTTCTTCGACCGGAATTAGACATTTAGTTGAAATGGGAGCAATTTCGAAGCTTTGCGAAGTCCTTGAAGAAAAATATTCAAAGAATGCTATTGAAATCTTGCTTCGAATCCTCTACAATGAACCACGTGTGCTTTGGCGAGAACAAAGAGACGACCTTCTTGGCGTACTGAGTACATTGAGCAGGCTGTTCAAAGAAACTCAAGACAGCAGTAAATTTGAACTTTGTAACTTTTTGGTGCTTTTTCTTTCGGGTGCCGAGAAATCTACGTTTGAAGGGCAAGAAGATCATCCGTGGTTGGCCAATATAAATAAAGCATTGAAAGATATTCTGCAATCAAGAATTTCGTCGTCACAGAGAGATCCCTCTCTGATGTTAATATCGATAATCATCGATCTGGTTGGAATGGATTGGATGGTTACATTTTCAGGACAAGATTCTCAGGGACTCTTTATTTTAAGCCTTACGATTGCCAGTGTTGAAATAAGAATGATTTTGGACGGTAAAACCTCGGAGGAAATCGAACCCAGGGCCATTGTCCTGACCAGCTGTTACAATATTCTCGAAAAAGCAATTAACTTTGCTATTGTTCAAACTCATACAAAATCTCATTTGCCGTCCATTGTTAGCGACGGCCTGTCCAAAGTATATTCCCTGGCAACCGAGGCCATGCACTCCATTGGATTATACTTGGACCAGGTGGCACAACACGATGTCAGAGGTCGCCGAACTGGACAAAACCGCGTGGTTGTGGCGTCAGTCCGCATTCTTTGTGCGTGGATGTCCGAAGAGACTTCAGCTCTGCAAGAAGATGTCGGCAAGTTACTTCCATTTCTGTTGAAGATCGGAGAGGAATCGCTTACAACAGGTGCTGTAAGGTTTTCTTTCAATTTTTTTTCCTCTCCTTACGTAAACAGACCTCATACACGCCTTCCTAGTCTTGGTCCAGCGAATTGAAAACACCGGACTCTCGTTCTTGCTGAGTAGTACATCGTATTTTCAAAAAATGCATAGCTCGAAATAGAATTTTAAGTCTTGGTGAAGTAGAAAAGTCCAGATATGTTTGTAAAGCGGTTGAAATGGCGACACGTTTCAGTTCATTCAGGTCATCTTCGGCGAGCAATGGCGAATATGTGAATCATGTCATTTGCTACATAACAATGTCTTAAGTAAAGTTAGACATCTTTTACAAAGATGTGACTAAATACTGTTGAAATTCTCAGGAAAAGGTAAATGAAATTTTCTAGGACTGAAATGAAATGTGAAAAGGGCGTATTGAATTTTACTTTATAAAAGCTAAGTTTTACTTTTGTCTCACGATGTAGTCACGGGTGATGTAGATCGCGACGTGTCGACTGCATACTGCTAGCTTTTATTGTTATTCACCACGATGAATAACCACAACCTTTTCTACGAAATTTTATTTTATCTTTTGAAAGAGTACGTAAGCTAATTTTTGGCAAACTGAAGGGAAATCGCTAAACTTTGTCGAACAAATATTTGGGACATAAATAACAACGAAAAAAATTCTTATTTTCTGATTGATCTTTATTCAGGAACCTTGGGTGTGACCAAATCATTAAATATTCAGAAAATTTGCATCTGTCCCTCAGAGAGTTTCATTGTTTGAAAGAGTAACAAAAGGTGTTTTTTTAGTTTCTGGGTGAATAAATTGACTTTTCCTGGCATTTTAATGAAGTTGCTCAGCCAGAAAATAGCTTTTAATTTGGCACAAACCAACCCAAAAGTTTAGAATTGATGTCATGGTAGCAAAAATAAGTCCATTTAGGATTTTTTTCCTTCATATCTTGAAAGGGATTTATAAGTAAAATTTCAGTGCTTGAGAATTAAATTATCAACTGTAGTGTATTGTTTGGATTGAATACTGAATAGACTTTTTTAGCTTGTATGTATTGTTTCCCCACTTCAAGTCATGTGGTTATATTCAAGAGAAATCTTTTCAAATTCCACAAACTCGCATGCATATATATACACAGAATTTACAGAAGTTGAAAGGAACAGTTTTCTAGAGTATTACTACTTGACCTGGAATAAGTAAACACAACAAAGGCTGAAGAGGTGTATTTTCTGTACTAATCATCAAAGGCATGTATTGGCATTAGTGAGAAGAATTACTTTTCAGATGTCAGGAGTTTTAGGTTTTGGTAACTTGATCAAAAGGTTAACCCGTTTACTCCCAGATCAAATTTTTTATTCTCCTTACTGTCAACCAAACCATTCTTATAGTGTTAGTTCAGAGAATTTAGAATTAAATCAACTAATTATCCCCAAATTGATATTTTTCTTTATTCTCATCACTTTTCTGGTGGATATTGTATAAATATTGTAAGGAGAAATTCAGTCTTGGTCACTCGTGGGAGTTAAAAGGTTAAATTTAATATGTTTCTTTGTTTCTAGGTTATGATGAATATTTTTTTCCCTTTGCAGAATTTAAGCTTTGGTTTCAAGATGATAGAAAGGATGCTACAATTTCAAGTGAAAAAGACACAAGTGCAAGTCTACCAGATCTGGAGAATTTGATAGGGCATCATTCAGAAACTAGATATAACATTATGCGTTTCATGTTACCACCCCTATGTCACCTGTCTGCTGATGATAAAATGCGCAAGATCCTCATTGAAAACAATGGTCTTGAACTTTTATCAAAGTACTTTTTTCATCATTGGAACAGTTGGTATGGACAAACAAAAGGTGTCACAGATGACAATGAGTCAGAGACGTGTCTTATTACCATGCTCGGTATTTTCTTGAATATCCTTGTGACAGAACCAGAACTTGTAACCAAAGATGAAGCACTTAAGGAGATTGGCAAACATGCCTTGGTGTCTTCTTCACAGCTACTCTTCAGAGATAGAAATATCACTATTTTAGTGAATCTTGTAGTCCTTGGTCTTTTGTTTGTGAAATGCCACAAAGACAGAGGAAAAACAGTATCGTTTGATCAACTAGAGGTATCTGTTTTCCTTAAAAACTCCATTCAGATCTTGAAAGAAGCAAGATACCCTGCCACTGGCAAAACACAAGGAGACCCAGGTGATAGGAAGACCGAGTTAGCCACCTATTGCAGAGATTTCTGGGATGACATATCAGAACTTTGGTTTCTAGGCATACAGGTGCTGTTATCCTTGGCAGGTTCCATGTCTGTTGCCAAAGAGCTTCTTGAAGAGAGTGGATGTTATGAAGAATTTGTAAACATTGTGAATCAAACCAACAAAGAAGAGGAAAATCCTGGAGAGAAAAACTGAGGCCAAGTGTAAGTGATGTATTTTATTCAGTTTGATACTAAATTACACAAATTTTTTTTCAAAATAGTAGCTTCAATATTCTTTACACTTGATGTTTTTGTTTTTTTTTTTAAGACTTTAGTAATCTTATCACATTATTGATAACATACTTCATATACCCCTCCCTATAGTGTTATCTCCCTTGAAGAAGCAGCAGTGCATCTTCATTTTCCACAGTCTAAAATTAAACACTCAGAGATTCCACAAGCAGTACACAATTGTTTGTGATAAAGCTTCAAGTTTTTCTTTGTTTGAAATGATTTAAAGCTTAGGAGAAATTTGCAACAATGCTCGATTCATCAAACTACCTTGAATTTTTTATGTCTGGTCTTGATTATCGTAAGATTATAATCTACAAGTAGAGAAAAAGAAAATTATTATTAACTCATTATAAAAGGCAAGCCACAATACTCTGCAGGCTGGTTCAAGCTCTGTCCAAGTGGCATGATCTAAAGCTAACAAATTGATTTTCAAATAGAGGATGAAGAGAACAACAACTCTGTTATATCCAATATCATGTTTTAATAACTTATTATCAAGAAAATAATAATTTACTATTATTTTAATTAGAAGGTATCAGCACCTAAAAATGACATTAAAATTTTATAGTAGAGGTACACTATGGCCAAAATACACACAAACTATATAAGCATGTCACATGAATGAAATCCTTTACACCAAATATTATTACTAATGTATCCTAGCTATTTTTTGACCTATGTTACCATAAATTTAATTATTGAGTTAAGAGTGTAACAAGTAAATACCAAAGGTGGCAAGGAAGCCTGTGAGAAACTGTAGGGCTTCTACATGATGGGCTCCTACATGATGGGCTCCTCCTTGCATTTATTATAATTACAGGTAGATTCAAAAGTTACCCTCAACTACAAATTGAAGTTAAATGAGACAAACTTAATCAACAAAATAAATAATGAAATTTTTATTCATCTTTAACAAATTGTTCAATGTGAACATTTAATGGAAACTTTGTGGTTGAAGGCTTGTCATAGTGCCAAAATGGTGCTAATGAATTTTTGACATCTTTTTCTGTTGGTATGGGGTTAGCTTTCTCTTGTTGGAAATCCTGGTACTGCAACACTAGTCACTTGCATAGTTTTGATTCACTCTCTTTATTCACAGTTGTCACTCCCTTTGTATCGTGTCAATCCTAACTTCTAATCGCAAAAACCACAATATCCTAAAAACACCCTTGTCTATGGTCACTAAGGTTATGAGATTGATGTCACTACTTCATGATGAGTGAAATCCTAAGTGAAATGATTTGTTTACAAGTCACGCACTAATTACTTCCGACACTCTTATGGTGAGGATACATAGTAGAAACTGCTCTCTCTGGAAACCTCTTTGTGTGAATGGATTGGAAACAACTCAGTAACTGGTGACATGGGTCTTCTTTGACAATCAAGAAAAATAAACCATTGTCCTGTTCTTGGCATTTGGAGGTTATCTGAAGAGGTTTCTTTATGAGAGGTATACTTTCACTGGTGCTTTATGCTGAGGAGGGATTTTGTATGGTCTTAAGTTTCATTTGTCAAAGGAGTTGAAAAGCAGTGGAATATTCTCTGCATGAGTAAATTTGAAGGTGTCTCTGACAGCTGTATGTTAGTCAATTTATGATTCCTTCAGTTGCAGCTTTAAGCCAGGCAGGTTAAGTTTCTCCAGCACTATCAACTCTAGCACAGCTTCAGGCAATTCTAATGAAACATTGATTCTCTCATTTTGTCACACAATGTGCCAGGAAAAAATCTGAAGGTGTCACTGATAGCTTGCTGTTGGTCAAGTTTGTCAATTGCTTATTGCTTCAGTGGCAGCTTTAGCTGCCAGACAGGTTGAGTTCCTCCAAAATTTTAACTCCAGCACAGCAGCAGGTAATTCTGATAACAGCTTGCTGTAGGTCAAGTTAGTCACTTTCCAATTGCTTCAAGTGCAGTTACATTAGCCAAACAGGTTAATTTCCTCAAAACTGTTAGTTCCAGCACGGCTTCAGGCAATTCTGGCAACAGCTTGCTGTAGGTCAAGTTAGTCACTTTCCAATT